TCTCCGAGTGTACTATTTTAGGTCCTCTCTTTGATTAGGATCTCGATTGCATCCTTGTGGTTGATGCAATCTTCCGTGACGTGTCCAAGACTCTGGTGGAATCGACAATAATTAGACTTGTCGACGTTGGGCTTAGGGGGTGTTGATTTCGGAAAACGGACACCGCCTCTTTGAAATTTCGAGTTGATACGCTTGGACAAGATGCGCTCGCGGGAGCTGTGAGTAGGGTGTACTCAGTGAACTGGCATGCAGGCTCCCTTTGCTCTCGGGAGTCCTGGGGTCAATCTTCTCTTCTTATTTCCCCGCCTCGTTGGGGAGCGGTGGAATCCTCGTGCCTGGAGCTCTTGGAACCCTCTTGATTCTGCAAGTCGCGGGCGTAACGGGAAACCTCTATCTCTTCATACTGGATGTATGCCTGGGCCTTGCGAAGGAGCGTGTCTAAGGTGTTATGCCTTTCAATATCGACTGCCTTGGCAAACTCGGTGCGAGGTCGCAACCCTCGCTCGATCAAAAATCTCTTCATGTCGTCTGAGGTGGATACCTGGACAGCTTCTCGGTTGAACCTCTCTATGTAATCCCGGAGAGATTCGTCTTTTCCCTGGATGATGGATTTCAGGGATGCTTTCGTCTTCGGGTGGCGCCGGGAAGCGATAAACTGCATGGAGAACTGCCTCTTCAGCACTTTCTAGGAAGTGATGGACTCGGGCGTGAGAATCTTGTACCACGCCATAACATCCTTCCTTAGGGTAGTGGGGAAGAACCTGCATTTGATGGCTCCCCGGATGTTCCGGTAGTCGAGCATCGCATCAATACTTTTAATGTGGTCGTCCAGGTCGGTCGTACCATCATATGTCACCAAGGGCGAGAATTTTTCCATCCCAATGGACAAGGGAGTCTCTGTGATGGTCTTGGTCAGCAATGCGCGCTGGTCGTCCTCGCCGCTCTTGACAGGTAATCGAGACGGGGAAAGGTCACCTCATTCGTTTCTATTCCGCCGGAGAGGACTCCTTGGCTAGCTCTTTGGCTTCTCGATGTATTTGTCAACTTTATTTCTCTTATAAATGGGGGAGTGTCGCTCTTTCTGGGGAGGGGATCAGTCGCGCTTCTGGGTGGCCACAGACTGAGGTCGTTCCAAGCGAGGGCGATGTCCAGGCTTTCAGGGAGAAGGCTTTGAGAGTCATCGTGTCGTGTCCTCCAAAGGGGAGGGGAGGGATTGTGAGAAACGGGACGACGATGTCTCCGCGGGGAAGAGCGTGATTGTCGCTTCTTCTCGAGTATCCTTATTCGTTCATTCTGTTGGAAAATCATCAGATTTGTATGATTGATCGCCGCGAATAGAGCCAACATGGTCGGGTCAGTGTTAGGTGGCATAGGGATTGGCTGGTAGACAGTCATGCTATCAAAGTGTCAGGCGACATTGAAGGTCGCGTCGTCCGAGAAGGGAGATGTGGTATGCCCGTCCCTGAGGTCTCCCTCTTCGACGTGAACGATCATGTTGGGGTCGTGACCACCACTATTGGTGAACAGAGTGAAGGCGGTTTCTGGAGCATTGTCGTCAATGTGTGGGCTGACCATGATCAACAGAGGTTGTAAACTGCTTTGGTTTTTGGGTTTCTATAGGAGAAAGAACGGGTAATCTAGAGTTCCCACAGACGGCGCCACTGATATTATCGGATTAGAAATTGATCAGTAGCCAGCCACACGTCATGAGCTCCTTGATCTTACCGGATCCGAAATGGATCAACAGCCAGCCACACGTTGTGAGCTCCTTCGTTTGCAGGTGATGGAGAAGAGGATGGGGTGTACCTGCAAGGTACTCCGATGCTAAAGTGAGAAACAGAGTAAGAGAGAGAGCAAGTACATAAAGAAGATGTATAATTCAGAATACATGGCCTTATAGTGAAAGATGATATTTATAGTGTGCCCTCAGCGTTAGGCCAACAATTACATTGCATTGGGCTGGATTGTCAGGCCTAACACAAGTAACTGTCAGGGTCTACGTGGCGTAGGGGAGACTAGCACGTGGTCTTCACCCTGGTCCAACTGCCTCGTGATCCTCGAAAGGTGGAAGGCCAGTTCTTTAGGACACGGGTAGTTTCCAGATGATGTGTCCCCATGTGGGAAACACGTGGAGAACGTGGGGGAGATGTGTGAGTTCTCCCCGTGCTAGGTAGTGGTCTGCCTGATGGTAGAGTGTACTGGGGCGTGTTGACGGGATGAAGGATTGAGCCTTATTGGACCTCTTTAATGTAGTATTGGGTTGGGCCTGCTCGACTGTGGAGCAGCTACTGGCCCAGTCTAGAACAATAAGTATTTAAGCGCTTGAATCTGATAGTTAAGAAATATTTTTGCTTAAATTCTGAAGATTCTTTTACTATACTTTTAAGATCCGTTTAATTAATCTGGATAAAACTTAAGGGGAGCTTACAAACCTCTCCTTTTGGACTATTAGACTCAAGGGGAACTTACAAACCTCAGACTCTGAAGTCAACTAGTTAACTAAATTAACAATCATTATTCTTAAATACTTGTGTTTGTTATCATCAAAGAGGGGGAGATTGTTAGAACAAAATTGGTTTTTAATATATCTTTAAGATTTTGATGATAACAAAGTATTTAAAAAATAATAAGGTATACTAACAAAATATTCAAGTGTGCAGGACCATAAACTAAAATTTGTGAAAAAAGAATTTAGTATTGGTACTGAGAATGAACATTTAAAGAGAAGATAAAGATCCAGATTCTGAAACATCAGAAGCTGAAGTCCAAACTCTAAAAACTCATACTCTGAAGATAGTCAACCTCTGAAGATAGTCAACCTCTAAAGACTCATATTTTGAAGGATCAGAACCCGAAAACTCTAAATTCATTCAATACAAAGATCAAGAAGACTCTAATAGGCCACTATCAGACTCTAAGACCAGTCAACGCAAGGATTGAGGAGACTCTGATAAGTCATTATCAGACTCTGAGGACGTTTTGTCTTTTCTGATCACGTGTAATCTTAAGCAAAAATCTGCAGAAGACAGTTGGGATGCAACATATAATTCCTTTTGTAGCTAAGGGATTTCAACGATATTTATCATATTAAGAAACACCTAAATGTATTTGAATAAAGCTTCTCAAAGACTCAATTCTTCAACGACTTTTTTTCTTCTCTATATAAGGAGTTGAAGACTTGAAGTAGACATGCAACGAATGATTGACAATAAAAGAGTTGTTCCTCTGTCAAATAAAAAGCATAAGTTTAACTTAAAATTTCTTAACACTTGTGTATTCTTAAAAATTCTTAAGTCTTAAAGAGTCATTTTGTGTTGTATTTTGTCTACATCTCTGATTGTATATCAAATGTAGTTTTTCACAGTCTCTTAATTGTAAGTTAGAGTTTAAGAAGTCTCTTGCTTGTGTGTTTGAGCATCTGAAGGCTCTTGTTTGTGTGTTCGAGCATCTGAAGGCTCTTGTTTGTGTGTTTGAGCATCTGAAGTCTCTTGCTTCTGTGCTTGAGCAAATTGTAATTGTGATTATAGTGAAAATCCCTTGAAATTGCAAGGGGACTGGACTACTCTCAATTTGTGGGGGAGAATCAGGATAATTACTTTGTCTCTCTTTCTTTCCCTTCTACCTCTAAACTATTTTAATTTGCTGCTAAACACTTAACTCAGATTCAGATTCTAGACTATGTGTTTAGAATCTAGTAAAATATTTTCAAAAAAGAAAGAAAAAGCTAACATAATTCAACTTTCCCTTGTGTTTTTCTCACGTTCAATTTCAATAGAAAAAATGGATGTAAGATATTACTATTATTTAAACAAGTATCCTCACTTAGAAATATATAAATATTATCATCAACTAATAAATCAACAATAAAGAATGTATATATCAGCTAAAGCTCACGTTTTTACTATTAGAAATTTTGCTTTTAATGATCGAAAAATTTTAGTCACTGTAGTCACCGAATGAGTCACGTTAATTTGATATTCATGAGTAAACTTTTAGAAGTCACTAAATTGGTCACAAAATAAAAATCAGCAACTAGTTTAGCGACTAAAACTTTGTGACCGTCTATTCGATCTAAAAATATATTTTTACACAAAATTTAATTTATATAAAAAAAATCAAAGACCGAAATTTTGATAGTTGATATTTCTGCTATTTTCCTTTTCTATTATTTAATCCTATTTATTATGTTACTATTTTTCTCCTAATTTTTTAAAATATTTTAATTCCCTTTTAATATTAACTTTTATTAAAAGGTTCACCTTTTTATTGTTTTATCAAATAAAACATATTATATAAACATTTTATTTCTATATGTGCATAAAAGTGAATTTCATTTTTATTATGCAATTTTTATATTACCTAATGAAATTATATTAATAAAATCAAAATTTATTTTCACTACATCCAATTAAATAAAATAATAATTAGTAATTTTCTAAATATTATTTAATAAAAAAATATAAATATAAAGCTTTTTTATGAGTTTGGACTTCAACAAATCATACACACGAATACTCAGATGTAGAAAGAAAATGATTACCATGAAAGTAGTGGAAGAGAAAGCAGATAATTATATTGTTGTCACAAAATTTCATTTAAACAAAATGCTGAGTATTATTATAAATAAAATAGCTCATGTACATAATGAACATAAGCAACCAAGCACCAAAATCTACACCAGTAGCCAAGTTCAATAAGTCCATGCAAGATCTCAATGCATAAAAGTATCTAAGAAATTCCTATGCTGGTTGAAACCAGAACCTTGAAATCAAACAAATTTTGACAGCTGCCACTTTGTTGGACTTTAAATTTTTCATCAAGTTTGTAATAAAATTCAAAACCTAAAGTTCTGCATTTGTCTTTCCTATTTTATCAGTTCGCAAACATCACAACATAGCATAGTTTTCAGTTTGTACAAATTACCAAAAAATCATACAGAAACTTTTCTTTAAAATACAATTACAATTGTTGTGGTTTAGGTTCCTAGCCATATTGTTGTTCTACCATGTGAATGCCGGCAACACATATGACGGAAAAGCATTATATTTTGTCGAAAGTGATTGCACAGAAGATGAATCGGCTACTTCTCCAAAACCATGGAGTCCAAGTTCAGTTGCATGAATCCCTCCAGTGATTAAAATTGATTGGATTCCAGCAGCATTAGCGCCTTTAATGTCATGATGTAGAGAATCACCCACAGCAATACAGTCGGAAACATCTGTACCAGCCATTGCCATCGCTGAGTTGTAAATTATCTGACATAAGCGACAACGCAAGAGTTTGAGATCCATGAAGAGAAAACAGTTATCATAATGGATTTACATCATACACAAATCGTTTCGCCACCTCGTGAGGTTTCCCCATCCATTTCACTTCACCTCCAAGCTTTTCATATTTATCTGCTAGAGTACCTGGTAAACATGTAACATGATGCTGAAAGCTTATAACTAACTACTATTTAGGTGAACTATGATTTTATATACTGAAAGGAGAAGATAAAGCAAATTCACCGGGCATCACACGCAAATTTTTTGCTTCAACAGTTACATAATCTGGATTGGCTACTACCATAGGAATCCTTTTGGCAGCGCAAAGCTCCAATATTTTTTCAAGGCCTTCGAGATTCATTGAACGTGCATTCCCGTTGGCATCCCCCAGAGCTTCGGTTCCATGAGCCAAAATAAACTCAGCCTCTTCAACATTCTCCACAACTTGCAAGTCCAAGCCCTACAAGAAGTTATCATGTGCAGTAAGATTCCTAAGTAATTGAATATGGTTTCTTATGATAATATGCATTGCTGCTCCACACACCTCAAGAGATATTGCCCCCCTTCCACTCCAGGTGAAATGAATACAAGATCTTCCCAATGATGCAAACCAAGGATCATCTCTCCTATTGAAAAATAGATATTATCAACAGCGTGAAAATCTACCTATCTTAAGAAAATTCTTTTGCTAATGGCAAGAGACATAACTTTACATATCTAAATATAATGGTGGAACCGGTGATCGAACACGCAACACGAGGCATGTTATTATAATTGAAGACATCTCGTTAATAGTCTTGTTTGGATAAACAAGTTGGTATCCGGCCATGAGACCAACTAATATAAGGGAACCAATCCCACCGTCCACTAGCACGGGGCTATTTAAAGCCAGAACATAGCTCTGTAAGGATCGGGATTCGAACCCGAGACATCGAGAAGAGCACACTCTCAGGTCTCAAGTCTTTACCAACCGGTCAATGGTGTTTTTAAATAAGTAAATCTAAACAGGCCTATATGCAACAATAAAATAATGTGTGGAATGATGGTAATTGATCATAACTAAGCATCACAAATTAAGTTGGTATAATAACCTTTGTAAGCATTGATGAGTGAGTTCTCCACTAGTGATAGCTCCCAAGAAAAGAGAAGCATCAAAGCCAAGACTTTTGACTTTTTCAATAGTAACAGAAGAGCGTCTTGAAGAGTTACTTATGATCACCATTTTACCACCAGTCTTTGCTATATTCTCTACTAACAATATCAAAATTAAGCAAAATTGGATTATGTACTATATGGTTAGCCAGAAAAAACCAAAACCAATGATAAGGATAAGACATAAGATAGAATAGCAATAGATGAATTGACATACATGTTGAAATAGCACCGGGATAAGGTTGTTTTCCGTCATGGAGGACTCCGAACTGATCCAACAACCAAACCTGGGAAAAATGGAACAAGAATGTTATTGAGAGTAAAAAATAGTGAAATTGATTGGTTGAGAGATGGGAAGAGAGAAATGCCTTGTAACGATGAGTTTCGGCGAGTTGTCGGAGACCTGTCAAGGTCTGAAACTGAAGTGGCTGTACAGATTTGGGAATCATTCTGTGCTATGCACCTTTCCTTCTACACAAATTTTGACATAACACCTCTAATATAAAACACTGTTAAAAACACTTTTTTTAATTAATTGTAGAGAAATTTATTTTAATAGCAGTGAAGTGGTTAACAAGATATTCAATTAATTGTTCTTATGTTAATGAAAGAATAGAAATGATTAACTATTATTAAACTTGTTTGAATGTTATTTTTGTAAAATCCGTTTGGTTAGAATTAAATTTTTGATTGATTTTTTAAAAACAAACAAAGTCGAACCGAACCATATATATATATATATATATATATATATATATATATATATATATATATATATATATATATATATATATATATATATATATATATATATATATATATATATATATATATATATATATATATATATATATATATATATATATATATATATATATATATATATATATATATATATATATATATATATATATATATATATATATATATATATATATATATATATATATATATATTCTTATTTTTTATTAATATGAAATATTGTGTTAATTTATTATTAGGTAATATTTATTTTTTTTAATATTATTTATTTAATTGGTTTAATAAATTTATTTTTATTATTTCATATGTTTGAACTATAATCGATCATACTCATTTCGTAATATTGATTTTTAATAAATTATATTTTATATATTATATTAAATCTACTATTTATTAGTATTTTTATAATTTTAATAAAAAAATATAATTTATAATTTAAATATTCAAAAATCGATTCAAATTAAATCACAAGAAATTAAATCGTATTAAATTAGATTTTTTTAATCAATTATTCAAAGTTAAACTAAACTGCAATTAAATTTATCTTAAATCGAATGAATTTTTATCTCAAAATTAATTCAAACCGCATCGTAAATATTCTATGTACTATTAACTCAACTCAACTCATCTGTCGAGTCGGTCACCATTAAATTTGTATTGGTTTCGAGGTATGCAAAAATATATAGTTATGTAAATGATATATCCAACTTGAATTGCAGTGAATAAAACAATTAAATCATTTAAATAATTAATAAATTAAATTCCATATTATAAATAATTTGATTAATTAAATTTAAGTTAAAATCATTTAAAAATCATTGTAAAAAAGTTTTATTGAATTTTTTTAATAAAAAAATTATTTTTTCTTTTTGAAAAATAATTTAGAATTTTTTTACATAAAATACAATTTTCTAAAAATAAAAATCCTAAATATTAAAAAAAATACAATTTTTTAAAATAATTTAAGAAATAAAAATATCAATTTTTTAGAAATCAAACTAATGGTTTTGAAAGGGTTCAAAATATAAAACGGTTCATAAATCATTTTTAAATTGGACTAAAAGCGTTTTAGGGGTTAATTGATTTTATTATAAGTGGTTATTAAAACCTAAACTAAATTAGTAATGTGGTTTGATTCGATGCAGTCCATAGATCATAAACACCTCTAAATTAATATGGTTATATCAATAAACTTCCATCAATCCCAATTATCATGCCAATACTTAAGGATAAGAATATGTCAGGTCAGTCACGAGGTCTATAGCTTGACCTATATAAGGTCTGATATAGTCTGATCTATTTAACAAAAAGGTTATGCATAAGCTTTTTTAAAATAGTGTTTAGTTAAATAGACCAGCCATAGACTATTAAAAAAATCTATGAAATTTTATAGATCAACCTATATATACATATATATTCGAAAATAGCCTAAATAACATTTAAAAGGTCTTGTTGTATATGTAAAAAATTGGAAAAACAAACTATTTGAAAGGTTTAATGTAAAATTAACTTTAAAATAGGTTTTTAGATCAGGTCAGACTTTTAAAAAGGTCAGACCACACACATAAAAAGGCTAGACTCAAGTCTTAAAAACTTATTGTAAGTCATGTTCAGACCTACAAAAACCTGACCTGATTTATTCTCACTCCTACCAACAAAAACCACAACTCGAGCGTAGTACAATCAATCACATCACTAACATAGTCATCCATCTGACTAGTGTCAATTACTATTTTATCCATATTTAATCACCAATCCTACCGCCGCTACTTCTATATCAACTAACCACCACTACAACCACATAAGACCATCAATCTTAGCATCACTCCGCCCACTAATAACTTCTCCCTTGACCATTTTCGATCATCTCTTCATTCATTTGTGATCATTAATTTGATAATTATTTACTACTAGTTTGAACATCAGTTCAACAATTGTTAACTACCTTTTCATTCATCTATGATCACTAATATATATATATATATATATATATATATATATATATATATATATATATATATATATATATATATATATATATATATATATATATATATATATATATATATATATATATATATATATATATATATATATATATATATATATATATATATATATATATATATAATTTTTAGAACAAAACCAGTGTAATTATTATTGACTATTACTCTAACCATAACTAGAATCACCATTAATCATCGATCTTTTATAACTATCGTTCACGAGTTAAACATGTGTGTTTGTCTGACAACCATAAATTTTAACATTATATTAAAATTATTGAAAAATATATTATATATTTGTTATATTTATGTTTAGACCTAGTTATAAAATTTAAAATTTTCAAAACTAAAATTTAATTTTTAAATTTTCAAAAGTAAATTAGAAGGTTATCTCAAACAGGTTGTTATCAATTTTTTTAAAGAGAGTAAAACTTTATTTGATAAAAATAATTGGTAATGTTAGTTGATAGAAAAAGAAGTTGATAAATTAATTGAAATATTTAATAAAATAGGAGTTCAATAGCTAACAAATATAAACTTTTATAAAAGGACATTCTTTAATTAATAATTTTGGAATTATATTGCCTTTTATATATTGTTATTATTTATTTTATTTAAAATTAAACACAATAATAAATATTTATAAAAAATTATATATATATATATATATATATATATATATATATATATATATATATATATATATATATATATATATATATATATATATATATATATATATATATATATATATATATATATATATATATATATATATATATATATATATATATATATATATATATATATATATATATATATATTATCAACGAACAAATGATAAAGTAGAAGTGAGCAACAATCAAAAGTGATATTGAAATCGGCTAAGAAAGAAAATGAAGGAAAGTGGAATAGAAACAACATTTATAAAGAATGAAAAAAATTGCAATAAGATTTATAACTTTTTTTAATATACAAATTTTGACTTTTTATTCATGCACTTAAAATATATTTATTTTATTTTAAGTTATAATAATTATTAAATCATAAAAATAAGTTTTAATTAAAATAATAAAAATAAAACTAAAAGAAAAAAATGACCAAATAAAAATTATAAGTTCAAAAACTATTTCAAATATTTTTTTTCTGAATGTATGAAATGACTTCTAAAATGTGGATCAAACAAAATTTTTGATGAATGATCAACTTTAAAAATATTTTTGCTATTTTGCACATTTGAAAGACAAAATTAATTATTGATTAAAATTCCGAGTAAAACAATGGTGATTCACTCACAATGGAGTGTGCACAATTAGTCATGAGTGTGCTAAACAACAGGCAACATAATTTGAGGAGTAATAAATATGGATATTATGGTGTTATTGTTGTAAATTATTAACAATTAATAATTTTGAGTGTGTTTTAAAATGATAAGAAAATATGTAAGTGAAAGTTAATTTTTTAATTCAGAAATAGGTAACACTTGTAAAGCATTACAGTAAGAAGTTTATATTTTGAATTCGGAAATAAGCAACCCTTTGCGAAGTACTGCATAATGTGAAGCAGTACCGCCTTTGAAAATTGTTGTTGTTGGCAAAACAGTGCAACATTTGGTAAAAGTGCTATTGTAGGCGAAACAATGTAATATTTGGTAAAAATGCTGATGTAGACGAAACAGTGCAACATTTGGTAAAAGTGTTGTTGTATACCAGATGTTGTACCCTAAATTTGTCCCACCTTTCCTCACCTTTTCTATACTGAGCTTTGCGGGTGATTATCTGGACGTTAGTCACGATCCTCTATAATTTAGGTTATGAGAGTTTTGTGGGACCTTATAAATATGTTTAAGGCCAAGAGAAAAATTTTTCATCTGAAAGTCATATTCCATTGTTGAGTCATGTTCCAAGATGAATTCTGGTGGTGCTCCGAGTGTATGCCATAGGTCATTTGATCATTGTTGAGAATGAATTGATACAAAGAATGGGTGTATGATTTTAGACCGTACGCATAATGAATAGCCCAACCGTTGTATGGTCAAAATGCATAGTTTTATCCAAGGGTTTGTTCAAGACATAATAAGGCATGTGGCGAGAGAATTAAATTCCATATTGTCTAAAATTTCAGGACTAAAGTGACCAAGTTTGCATATGTTTAAAGAATTCAAAGTATCAATACAAGTCATGGTTCGAAGATAGATCGCCCACGGAACCCATACATTTCCAAAGCAAATCATTTAGTCTTGTCCATATAAGCATTCTTTTCAAGATGGGATTAAATGGCAAATCAATGTGTTGGGTGAGAGTTCAATTCGAAAGTTAACATTGTCTTTAATGGTTTCTTTTCATTCACATACAAAAAAAAAAAAAAAAAGGGAAGCCATGGCATTCTTTCATGAAGAAACATATGTAGAAACAGGAGTCATGATTTCCCACGACTTGCCAAGTTTTAATACTACCCAAGCGATGATGGGAGAAATTTAAGTGGGTTGTTTGAAGTATAAGACATACTTTTTTTTCAAAGAAGTAAGAAATAAATGGAAGATGAGATTATTTTGCAGATCCAATTTGGTTTCAAAACATTAGAAGTATACAATGTTTAAGCTCAGAGAAAATACAACCAAATTGTGCCTAGCTAAACTAATTAATGCACAAGACCGATTGCCTAGGCCAAATCATTCATCA